ATTATTCTTATTTAAATCTAATGAGTAATGAGTTGGATTGGGGTCTGCTGTTCAGTAGGTATCGAGTTATTGATTTTTCTTATTTTTGTGTTCAGAACTGATGCCTATGCAAAAGTTTATGCTTGAATCACTAATTCTTGTTTTATATTAAATTTCTTGGTGCAATTGAAATTTTCTATCTGTTTGTTGAGTAGAGAATTGTGATTATGTCAAATGTTAGGATAAGTTTTTTCTTTTATTCAGAGAGAAAGACGGAAGGGGGTTGTGGGGGTGGGTGGGTTGGGGTGGGGGTGGGGAGGCGAGAGACATTAAAGACGAAAAGAATCAATAAAGATTTCAAAATCAGGTCACTTTTTTGAATTTTCGAGGATTGCTTAGATATGTTAAGACACTAATCTGAGCTTATTTTTCAGCATGTTTACTTGAATATCAATTTCTGCGGCGTTCTTGCTAACATGTCCTTCCTTTCAATTATCATGAAGTACACTAGATGTGTTTGGGTAAAAGGTCTTGGACATTTACTGACATGGTAGAAAGGCAGTATCTTTTTTGGCCTTTTGGAGATTTTATGTCATATGATGCTCATTCTTTGTCAAGGGTACGTTAATAATTGTATGACACACAGAAATGTATGCCAAGTTGGCATCTCCTTCTACCAAATAGGTTTAAATATTGAAAGTTTCTTAACATCCATACCCCCGGATAAATGTTTGAATCCTCATATTTTTTTGTAGAACTCTTGAGAAGTACTCTGATGTAAAAGTGAATATGCCTTTTTGGAATGTTTACTTATTATCTTGAACTCTTGCAGCCAAGGTTCATGTCTGAGCTCGACATCCAGATTCCTACCACCTTTGGTATGTTGTGTGAATTACTTATTCTGCAATTATTGTTTATGTAGTCATGTATCAAGTTGTATCTGTCTTTGGGTTGCAGCATCGCTTCTCCTTGGTTTCCCTGCACTGTCTTTTCTATGAAGAGTTTTGTTACATATTTCTACTCAAAAGCATTTGAATTAGATGGGGAATTCTGTTTTGTGTATTTTACTGTTCAAGATCCTGTATTCTCCATGTTTTTTACTGTTTCAAGATCGTGTATTCTCTAATCATTGTATTTCCTTACGTCTGTTTCTTTGTTCTTTTGGATATAGTTGTTTGTTGTCCGAATGATTTGCTACCAGAATCTAAGATTTTGTTTATGAAAACTTCGAGCAGGTGGTTAAGCAGAGCCTGATTGCTTGCTTGCTTCAGGAGCAGATAGAATAGGGAAATCTCTCTGCTTAGAAACTTGAAAGATAGTTTTCATTGTACACTTTTGGGCTTGGTGGTTTAACCACAGTTTTTCAGGCCCAAAAAGTTCATCTCTTTAGATTTACAATAGGATTGAACTCAAATATGCAGATCGCTTCAGATCTTCCCTTGAAAGAGCATGTCTATCAGTACATTCTGCAGGTCAGGAGCAGGAACATCCGAACATGTGGTGCCAGTTATCTGGTTTTTGGTCTTTGTCACACCAAAAGTCCTCTTCCTCTTTTATGCATGCCAATTGTTATGCAGTGTAGGGGAGATTTGAAGTTAAAACAGTGTCAACGAAGATAGTAGGATGTCTTCTTAATTCAGGTCTTGATCATAACTACTGCATGATATCCTTGGCAGGCCTATTGATTAGAAAAATATCGACTGTTGTGCCTGTCATGTATGAACTGCTTTTTGCAAGTTAAAGTTGGGTTACCTTATTCTTCAAAACGAGGATATTGCTGCCTCTCATTTATCTGTCACTCTTGTCATAATTGGTGGTGTAAATAAATATGGGTATAACCACGAAATCCAATTTAACTAGTCTTAAGCAGTTTGACAACATACTACTATTTCATGCTTCACTGTTTAGTCATTTGCAATTTGCTTGATGATTGGACCACATTATATCCTGTCAACTCCCGATTGAACCTCATTAGATCCTGTAGGATTTATGGTTCATTTAGTGGCATAGTTTCTCATTGCAAGGCAATTTATTATTATGTTGACAGATCCTTTCGCTGATGCAAATGCTGATAACTCAAGTGCGGGGTCAAAAGAGTATGTGCATATCCGCATACAGCAGCGCAATGGTAGAAAAAGCCTGACTACAGTCCAGGGTTTGAAGAAGGAGTTTAGTTATAACAAAATACTCAAGGACCTAAAGAAGGATTTTTGCTGCAATGGTACTGTTGTCCAGGATCCAGAACTTGGCCAGGTAAACAATTTGTAGATATTGCTAGTCTCTCTCTCTCTCTCTCTCTGTGTTTTCTAATTATTCTGATTGGAAACAGGTCATCCAACTTCAAGGTGATCAGCGGAAGAATGTATCTACATTTCTTATTCAGGTATTCTCACTTCATGCAGACCCTATGCTATAGTATCTGCTACTTTGTTATTCCTGAGATTCGGTTTGTTATTGATCAGGCTGGCATTGTGAAGAAGGAAAACATCAAGCTTCATGGTTTCTAAAACCCCTCAGTTGCACAAGTCAATTGAAAGCATCTTTGGCTGCATCTGCTGCGAGGGTGAAGTTTAATGAATTACTTGTGCCTCTTGTTATAGTCCTGTCACATGTACCGTTAATGAATTAAAAAGTGAAGTTCCAAAGTGTTTGTTAACGTTGCATTCTCATATGTCCGTTAGTGATGGTCTCTGTTTGGAGCTTCTTTATGCAAATTTGTGATGGCTGCAGAAAATTCATCTCTTTCTGCACCAAAGCTGGACAATATAATCAACTGGATGATTCTCTTTTCTTCACCTATCACGTGAAGTTTTATATTGGTTATAAACGCAAGAGTTCGGGCAATTTGATGAAGGATTCTGGATAATGTTTGTCAAGAAAATTTGACAAACTTGTGGTCTTTTTGATTGAGCTTTCTAAATTCTTTCTCCACTCTGTTCTACCCTCTGGTTGTTAACCGCCATTGCTATAAGGGCCTACTCCCAATTTGATGCGTAAATACGCCTGTTACTCATGGCTTCCGTTTCCCAAGTAAACGTGAAAAACATGCTGGAAAGTGGTATCTTTAATATATAAGTCACTGGATGTATCCAAGACGTTAAAAGCTTAACAGTGAAAAAGTTTTCTAACAGGTGTTCATGCTCATTCACGTGAACAATTGTCCTTTTTTTTTTTTTATTGTCGGCACGATGGATTCTATATTACAATTATTTCTATTCTATGCTAGGAAAAGGAGGGGGATCTAAATAAGTCAAGGAAAATCCGATGAACCGCTATTGGCAAAATATTTTCAGAAAAGTTTGGATATTATAATGCATATCAAGTAATTTGATTTTTTGACTTTTACCTAAGTAGAATTTTGAAACTTGCTTGGTGATCAATTATTTTAGGAATTTGATTCCTTAACCTAAGAGTAATTGATTTGTCCTTTGGTGGCCCCGATGATTTTACATTTTACTTCTGTGAATCGTGAATCTCGAGAGCCTGCTTGTATTCTTTCCCTTGATCACCTCCGGTCATGCCATCATTTTCTCATCATGTGGCTGTGGTTTGAGCGAAGAAAAGTCACCAAATCGTCAGTATAAATTATTAGTGACAATATCAAATTAAAGTTTTTCTTGGGCATAATGTTGTAATGCATATGATTGGTGGTAAAACGCTTTACCTGTACTATGTCGATAAGACGTTTATTTGTAATCGAAAAGGTTTAAATTAATAAAAGAGTTTGATAAGACGTTTTACCTATAAATGAAAAGTTTCAAATCAATAAGACGTTTTACGTATAGACGTCGAAAAGTTTCGAATCTATAAAGGAGTAAGTAAGAAATCACCGCCTCTAGAAAAAAAAAAAAAAAGGAATTGTGGGCAAAGCAAACCTGTTTCTTTGTACAAATTTGTGATGCATGTAATTATTCCGTATGCTTCTACTTCCCCGAGTCATTGCCTTAGCATGCTTGCATGATACTAGCAGTCGCGACACATATTTTTCTGGGCAGTACATAGTATATACGAGGGCGAGCAGACATTAGTTGATGAAGCGATTTGCAGTGGTACCATATTTCTGAGCGATTTGTCTGTGCAGACTGATTTCTGTCCAAAATCCCAACTGCTTTCACTTTTATCATTCACGGCAATGGATGATAGTGATCTATCAGCAGCCTAATAAAGGTAAGGTCAAATCTCATCTTCTTTTCCGGCTAACAGACAAAAGCATTACAATCCATTTATGGGTGAACTTATCATCAAAGGATCATTTCACACTCAGTCTATTAGATGAGTGAACGAGCGGCTTCTAGCCTTCCACCACTGCAGGTGGAACCAGAGCTTAGATTGTCTGTTTTCGAATTGAATTTGATGGATTAACTTCCAAATTTGAGACTAAAAATTAACTCCAAAACCATGCAAAATATTTTGCACAGTGCTGCTTTAGTGTAATACATTTATTTTTATTCGTGTCCTTGGTTACCATCGGCACATTGTCAATGTGCTTCACTGCGTGGACAGCTCATGTTAAAACTTGGAATCCCTATGGAATTCGACACTCAAATTTATTAAGCAATTCGTGTTCGACGGTTTCGAATAATTTAGTTAATGATATTTCCTTTTTATACAAAAATAAAAAACCATGGTATGGCCCAAATTCTACGTTATAATTGTGAATTGACAATCGTGAAAACATGCAGCGTTCTCTTAGTCTGTACTCGCAGGCGAAAATGAGCTGAATTCTGCCCCGTTTAGCAAAGCGAATTTTTTAGGTATTTGTTTAAAACTTTACTCTATAAGTTACAATAGAAGCTTTTTTAAAAAATTTTGAAATGCATAGTTTAAAAACTTTGAAATATTTTTTGAGATTACTGTAAATAAAATTTCTAAAAATTTTGTACCAGACAAACTTGGTAAAAAAACTCAAGTGCCAAATCAGGCCGAAATTTTGGATGTGACACCATTTGGACTTTAAATCAAATCACTGTAATGGACACTGGGCCAACCAATCCACAACTTCTAGCATGTAATAAGGCTCTCTTCATCAGCTACCAATCACCACCTCGGAGTTGAATTCATCCACAGCTGTGGCAGTAAAATACATTCCCCATCTATCCTCGTACCCTTGACTCCACATTCCCCAATTTGTTTTAATTGCTTTTCCAACAGGTACAATTCAGTTCTTCGCTTATTTGGCTGGTGGTAACAATCAAATGGCTGAAGCTGAACACTCTTCCGATGAAACTTGTACTCATAACTTACCAGGTAAAAACATCTAATGTTTCTCTCCCCCTCGCTTACTCAATCTATTTGTTTGGCGTGGCACTTGAATTGTACAATTGCAGACAGAGGATAGCGATGGGGCGGGTGACTGCCCCTGGTGTGGGGGTTTGAGAGAGATATAGGGGGGGGGGGGGGGATTTTTCTTCCACTAGTCTTGATTAATAATCAGACTAAAACTTTGATGAATTCTCTATATTTGCTACATTAACAAGTTTATATGTAGGTTAGTTTAAATGGTTTAATTTTGTTTATATTTTAAACATAAAACATCAAACGTTAGAGAAACTAAGAAATTTATTAACATTCAATCTAACCCTCTTCCACTTTCTCTTTGTCTATTTCATTTCTTTCTCTGCCACATACCTTTTTCCATTTTTAGCCACCACTCACTCACTCACTCACTCTCAGTTTGATGAAATTGTGTCAGTTGAAAGAATTTGCAACTATTTTGCTAACCTTTTCTTTGCAATTTATTAGCACCGGCTTGCCTGATACTTGCTTGTCCACCAACAAACAAATCTTACTTTTGAGGAAAAACAGTTTGAATGTAATGTTGTCTTGGACTATTAAATTCAAATTTGAATTATGTGTCATGCATCTAATGATGAAAATGTAGACCCTGTTAGTTAGTGTATAGAAAATTAATCTCATATATATATATATATATATATATATATATATATTGCGAAGATAGGTTTACTTAAAAATGTTCAACCCCTCTCAGTAACACTATAAAAAAAAAAAGTGTACTTAAAAATGAAATATTCCTCTTCAATACCAAAAAAAAGATTAAAAAAAAGAGAAGAAATGGTCACCTATGGGTACCGGGGGGGTGGGGTGGAGTTTTTGACACCTGTGGCCCCTGCCCCATTTGTCACCTGCGGGTAAATCTGCCCCATTGCCAATATCCTCTTTGATGTTTGTACAAGTTTGCCCCCGCTCTGTTTTGTTCTTCTCGATTAAGTAGTATTCATTTAATTCCTGTCTATTCTCCAAATCGCTTTGGTTCATTGTGATAAACAAAAGAATCGATTCCCTGATTTTTGGTAATGAGTTTGGCTACTATATTTCAGAGAAAAAGAGCGGAGACTCCAAGGTTGAATTCTCTGAGGAAGAAGAAGACTTGATAATTAGGATGTTCAACTTGGTTGGCGAGAGGTAAATCACATTTTGTCACCGTCCTTATTTCCGTTGTTACTTAAAATAGTGATTTTCTTTTGACTGATCATGGGGAATCCTCCCTTTCGTTGCTAGGTGGTCTCTAATAGCAGGGAGGATACCTGGAAGATCAGCAGAAGAAATTGAGAAATACTGGAATTCTCGACATCCAACTAGTCAATGTAGTCGCAATAATTAGTGTAGCAGTTAATGCTTGCTTCTAATAAAATTTTAAGGCAATTAAGATTTCGTGAAAATGGATACCGTAAGCTTTATGGTGACATGCTGCAAAAACCTTTGATGCCGGTTTGCAAAGCACAGTCACTTGCTTTGCTCACCTCAGAATATTAGGCTTGGAATATGTATGTATTAACTGGGCGTCCCCTCGTGGGGGATACAGATCTGTAATAATCCGAATCAGCAAGAGAGTTTCTCATTGTCAATGTCTTGATTTCCAGTCTTCAACTCCCTCCTCAATGTAATGAGAATTCAGGACCAAACCTATTCAAATTATCTCATCTGCTACATCAGAAAACACGTACTAATATCAGAGATTCAAGTGCAGCAAAACAGAGCGAGACGTTGCACAGTTTGAACTAATCACGTTCCTCATAACATTACAGAAAAACAGAATCATAAGCTGATTGAGGACTATACAGGACAGGATTGAGCAGATTCCACAAACACTTGCGCTGATAACATCCACAGATGATTCCAAGACCAGTTAGGCCAAGAAATACAATGCTACGGTCCACAAGAGAAACACTTGTGTGGACTATACATTGCTTTGCTTGTAAAACTTTGTGTCCAGCACTTGTTTCCCGCACATTGCACATACTCCTGCAATTTAGAAAGAGCATAAGAAACAGGGAAAGCAAATAATAAAAACACGCGTGAGAAGATGGCATAAAGAATGGTTTCAACAATGTTTGTACCTTTACTGTAGGCACAGGTATGACAGTACTTAGCGTCTTGATGCACCTGCTGCTTGCAAATAATGCATTTCGTTGTTGCACTATTTGTTCCATAAGGCGTCCATCTGAAAGACAATAAAGGTTCCACAAATCACAACTGGTAGCATATCAAAAGCATCTAAAAGTTAAACATACTAGCAATCTATGTACAATGCACAGAGAAAATACAAACTTCTTTGTCGACAGCAATGACATGACTGAGATACAAAGACACTAAAACATACAAGTATGTAGCAAACCAAACATAAATATTTCAACAATTAAAACTGATGCAACCCGATGACAGCCTTTAACAAAAATGCTCAAAAGGGAAATCAGGTCCAATTAATCTCTGATGTAAACAAAAACAGCGACAAAATGCTGAAGTGACCCTCCCACCCTTGGAAAAAGCAGTCATTAGCAAAGTTGTTTTGACAAAACTACTCATAGATCTTCTATTTTCGCAAACCTCACTAGCATAACTTCATTAAAAGTAAAAAGAAGGCAGTTTTGAAGAAATATTGTGTACACATTCTCTCTCTCTCTCTCTCTCGTGCAGGTGGGCGTGCAAGACACATTTGCATCATCTCATCTGTTAAGTTTTAGCAAAAGGAAAGCTGTAGCCCATGCACTGAGTGGGATTTCTTGTAATTGTGTAACCAATCATAAGCATTCAATTCAGAGTGTATTACGTCAATGAAAAAATATTTTCTAAAGCACTGCAGCATCCAGCAACCTCATCAACAGACAGCGAAGTTACACTTTCATACTTCAACCACATGTTGATATATTCCAAAAGGGGGAAATAAAAAGAACATAAGTATAGTACACGATACAACTATTAATCACATCCCATAAAAGCATTTAGAATCAAGCACTACCAGCAAAAACAAAGGACAAGATTATCTCACAGACTTCCAAGAACTACTAATCAGGATTTCAGAACTACATTGCCACATCAATACTTCAGAGTAGTCTTCATCAACAAAACAACGCTAGTTTTTTATAAAATCCCAGAAATCGCAACTGCACAGCAAAAATCCATAATGGTTGAATTTACCCCAGCTAGTAAAAGTTTTTAATTCCACCACATTGGTGAATCAAGCAACTGAAATCAACTTCAATTTAAAAAGAAAAAATCAATGATGCTATAAAATTCGTTGTAAAACAAACAAAAAAGAAATCAATCTTTTCAATCAAAACAGCCACTTCAATTAAGAAATACCTAATCTAACAACTGTAAATTGAAACATATGAGTAAAACTGAATTAAATGGTAACCCTAAGTGAGTAAAGTAAGTAAAGGGGTACCGGTGTTTCTTGGAGAGGAGCTTGTTCTCGTTAATCTTCCGGCCGCCTCCTTCGGTGGTATTGTGGGCTCCCTCCTTCCACTTGTCCGGCACTATCACCTTCGACAGCTTTTTCTCACCTACACATGTAGATTTAGATAATCCATTTCTATTATGTTAAACAGAAATTAAAAAGAAAAACTAAAGCCAAATCCAACTTCAGAACCCTAATCATACAAGGTAAGTAAATAGCTATAGGTCTAATACATACACTTTTCGCAGACCATTCTCGTGAACCGTGAATTACAGGACGGGGGCGCAAAATTCACCGGACACTTCTCAGACGACGAAAAGGGCTTTTTCCCAGCTTCAAGTTTAATTTGCTGGTATTTATCTTGGTCGGCGAAAAGAAAGGGCGGTGAGCGATTTGGCCGAAATACCCTTTGACCCAATTCAATAATATCAAAACGACGGAGCCTGTGTTATACACTGAAGAGCCAAGTAATTGCCTTTGATTCTCCTTGGACCGGAAAGAACTCCGTCCGATTCAAATTGATTCGCATAATTTTAAATAGTTGTCGAAACTGGGACAATTTTAGTCCAAGTAATTTTAAATACTGTAAAATTTGAAGACGTAAATGTAAATTCCAGGAACCTTCCATGAGAAGCTCTGCAAGGATAATGTACCAAAGAGGAAGCCCGGGCAGTTATCCTGATCCAGTCATCCTCCTAAATAGCGTAATAACTGTTGTTCTCTTGATTTTCAAAATGACGTGCTTTTTTTGGCCTTTGGCCTTTTGAGGCAAGGCTAATAAAGGGAATTACATGTATTGGCACTTTGTCCAGTTGGGCGTCGGCATAAAGACCTGTAACATATTTTTGTCAATTTAAAATGATGAGTTTGTATGAATTAAATATTTTTGGGAATATTTTCCAAATACTACACTATAGCATTGTATACAAAACAGAATTCATACACGGCAATACCATATGTGTCACCTCACCTCTACGACTATAAAAGAACATTCCAAAATGTTTGCATCAGTATACGTGACGCGTTTATGTAGCACGATATGAAATGTCAATGTAGAGTGTTGTAAATTCAAAAAATGAGAGAGTTTTCTGCAATTATGACTAGGGTGGTCACGGGTCGAATATCCGCTCCGTCCACACCATTTGGGTGATCTGACCTGCATCTTGCAGGTCAATCATTTTTTGATCCTTATCCGTCCCACATATCAGTGGATACCCATTAAGATAGGGTTAGGTCAATGGACATATCAGTGGATACCCATTAAGATAGGGTTAGGTCAATGGGTACTCGTCGTCACCTCATTTATTATTTAAATTTTTTAAAAAAATAATTTATACTAATTTAATATTATATTTTACACATTTATCTAAGATTTAATAAAGATTTATTTCTAAAAAAAAAAAGTCTCCCACCAGAAAACAAGCGTGCGAAAAGAATACAAGATAAAAAGAATTCAAAATCAATAAAAGTTTGAAATAAATAACTCATTTTTTTAAATATATGTTTCACATTAATTAAACTCTTTTCTATAAAACATAAGATCATAATCTCTACAAATAAACCTTGTAAATAAACTATAGTCTCTCATATTTGTAATGCAAGTTATTCAATGAAGATACTTATTTAGCTCTAAATTATTATTTTATAGTATGTACATAAAAATAAAAAAACAAAAAATATATATATATGCCGAATTGGTCGGGTACTCCTGAGTTTTTAATTATGTGATCCTAATCCGCCTCGCATCTTAGCAGGTACGCTACCCTCTTTTGATCCGATCAAATAATACAAATCGGGTATCCTAATTTTCATATCGCATCGCATCAGATATGACGGATTTTGGAATAGCGGATAATTTTGTTCACCCCTAATTATGACAAGCTCGACGGCAAATCTACAATTCCTATGCAGAAGTCATGAATTGTAAATGAAATTCAATTGAATTTGCTCAACTTGGGCTTTTAGTAAGGAAATATGAATTCTATTTTGAACTTGTATTTTGCTTGAGAATGAAAACTATGGTCATGCGATCACTGTTCATGTTAAGTGCAAATTTCACAAAGCTGAGAAAGCCAAACAATGCAGAGATGGGGACACTTTGGGCGGAGTCGTGGATGCAGTAGAGCCACGTACTAAACACAAAGGGCTTGGAAATTTGGTTATGACGAAGCTATATCATATCCAGATTCAAAAGATGTGGCTAGCTTATCAAAGAATGCTTCAGTACATGTATGTTTCATTGATGGACCCTAGCAAATAAATGTTCCCAAAAAACAAATAAGAAAAATCGAAGTGTCTTTTTAAAAAGTGTAGAATATTTAATCAATGAAATAATTCCAATAATTGCAGTACAGAAGCGCCAAAGCACATAATACAGCATATATACTCAGAAAGAAAACTATCTATCTATATATGAACTTTCAATGTTCTTTTTCGAAAAAATATACCAATATCTGATTCATCAGATCAGGCCCAGGGACTTATCCAGCACTCCTCAGGTACTTTAGGGAATCTTTCGGTGTCCTTGCAATAGTCATAAATAACAAGATTTCTCTGAACCCAAGCATAGTCCAACTTTTCGCTGTCTGAGAGATGCCAAGCAGGATACTGATCCCACCAGTGTGCTGTGGTGGTGGAGACACAGGCTGGGTAAGGGTCTTCCCATTTGCAGGCATCGACACTGAAGTCTTTATAAGATGATACAAATGGTGCAAGCGTCCAGTTTGTCTTCTCCAGACCACCTCTGGTTGCCCAGTCATCAGCATTCCATATGCTTGAAATCAAGTTCATTGGCTTGTCTATGGGGAAGAAGTTGTTTGTATAATTTGCATTCCTGTACACCCTTATTGGAACTCTATCAACGTAGAACCTGTTGAAAAAAGTGTGTCATTTCATTTAACAATAACTCTTTGGATCAAATTAGAAAGCAATTAACGCACGCTGACTAAAATGATCATTAGTCTTTGCCTAGAACAGGAAAACTAGAAGAATTATGCTCCTTCCATCTCCCCAGTCATAGTTATGATATATTAATATGCCATTGTGCTTGGTGACTCACATCACATGGCTGGTCTTTCCCTGTTTAATTGCGGTATTTGAAGCCGAAAACGACCAAAACTTGGTCTGGTGACTCTCGTCTCGTCTTGAGAATTATTGGATCCAGATTGTCAATTTGG